AGAGAGAGAGAGAGAGAGAGAGAGAGAGAGAGAGAGAGAGAGAGAGAGAAGAATAAAAGGAAAGTGCAGTGACATTTACTCTTTAGCCTCAGCCAGTTTATTGTTCATCTCTTTGCTTTGCTCCTTGTCGTCGGGCTTGGTGGCACTGGGACTCTCCGTGCTCTTTTTCTTGGCAGCCTGGCCTGACGCCACCTGCTTGTCTTTGGCCTTCCTCGGGGGCTTATGGCTCGCTGAGGTCTTTTTTGGTTTGGAACTCTGAACACTAGGTTTCTCCACCTGTATGGAGAGACAGACGGACCGCAAATACAGAAACACAAGGGGAGAGGGTGGGAGAGAGGATTCAGAGAGAAGAAGACATTACGGTATTAATCAAAGGAAAACGGGGAGCAAGTCTGACACGGGAAGCACAGTGGAGGAAGGACTTCCAGTGACACTGGCCTTTTGGTTTCTCTGTCTGAACTCCCTGGTTAGTCTCTATGGCAGCACTCTCTCTGGCTGCATGGACTCACTATCCCCTCCCTAGGTGGCCCCCTCCCCAGATGGCAGGCGGGTCACTGTTATACTGAATCTGCTGTCCCTCCCTGTGGGAATATTATACCTCATCACCTTGTTCAACTCAGGCACAGGCATATGATTTCCTGTAGTCCTTGAAATATGAGAAGGGACGTGGGTCACCTCCAGGCCAGGACTTGAGAGTCAGCCTATGCTTCCAATGCTCTCTGCGCCTCTGCTCAGAGCGGTGCGCTCCATCACCCCAGGCCTAGGCTGAAGAGGCATGAGGAGCAGAGCTTCAGCCCCCCATGATGGACAGCTACTCGTGCAAGATGAACTTTGGCTGATGTCAGATGCTAGGAACCCAGTGGCTTATTGCTGTGAGTAGCTGGCCTTCCCCTGTTTCTGTCTCTGAGATGGGAATGCACATGGAGAAGTGTTCTTATTGAGATCCTTTGAGGTGGGATGTGTCCAGCCTCACCAGGCCACTGGGGCTGCACGGCCAGCCACATCTCTGACGGGCCACCTCGACAATTTCTCCCAGAGCAGCTGCTCCAAGCCCAATCCACTCTCCCTGGGATACCTCTTCTAAGTCTTCCCCTTTGTTCTGAGGTCACAGCCTGCTCTTTTTCAGAGAACTCTGGAGCCACTGAGCATGATGGGTCGATATGCTACTCGGGCCCATTGATTTCTAGATTTAATTTCCCCTATCCTTCCTCCTTCCTCCACTGGAATCTTCTTTTGTTCAATGCCAACCCCATGTCTTGGGTCCCACCGCATCTGTGGGTGGGACATCGACTTGCTGAGTTCCTATGATTTTTCAGTCACCCTTGATCTGCAAAGAAGGTAAGCAGTCATCCTGGTTTGTCTGGAATGGAGAGGTTTCCTGAAATGTTCCAGGCAATGGGTAGTTCCTTTACTTATAAAATGGTCCTGGCCACTTAGGAAACTCCACCTGAGTACTAGACTTTAGGACAAAAGCAGAGAAAAGACGGTTTGGGTTCTAAAAGTATTTAGGTTGTCAGATGTTTTCTGCTGTCACATGCAGGAGAGATGATGTGTACCCAATTCCATATGGTCTGACATCACAGAAAAAGGTTGCTTGGCATGTGCGATTCTTACTTGGGAACTCCATCTCCAACCTCCTTCCCCCAAGTATGAATTCACACTGAGACACAAATCAGGTAGGGTAGTATTGTAAGAAAACTCCCAAATACACTTTCACAAACTGTTTAGTGACTAATGACAGAGTGTATCTTGCAGCTGATGTGACAGGTGTGCTGAGACAGTGAACCCTGCTGGTGGATGGTGTGTTATCAAGGGAAGAATGAGAGGGTGGCTGTGTGCACACCTGGGAGGAAAAGAAGGGGCTGGAATGGAATGGGGTGGGGGGAAGGGCCCTACGGAGGCAGAAGCACAGCTATTTTAAGATGAAGGGATTTACAGCTCAGGTGAGATTTCCTGCTACTTCTTTTCTGAATCTCTCAAATGCAGAAGCTAGTTCTCTGGAATTCTGCCCACCTTTAAGGTGTTTTGTTTTGTTTTGTTTTGTTTTGATTTTTAAATCTCAGGTAATGGTTCTTTCTAACATCTCCTTATTTTATTTTATTTTTTTCGGTGCTGGGAATGCAATCCAAGGCCTCACACTTGCTAGGCAAGAGCTCTATCACTGAGCTACATCCCCAGCCCTTTTCATTTATTCTTAAGATTTTGAGACAGGATCTCACTAAGTTGCCCAATCAACCTTGAACTTATGACCCTCCCAGCCTCAGCCTCTCAATAATAGCTGGGATCACAGGCCCCACAGCTAACATTTCCTTTGAATTTAACAAAGGTTCCTGTTGAAGATGCCCGTGGGTCTCAGTGTGCTAAAAAGGAAAGGAGCCCTTGGGGCCGGCCAGTGTCTGCGGTGCCCACTCCCAAGCTCTGCTCGGTTCACCTTTCCAGTCCAGGCCGTGCTGAAGGGTTCCCCACAAGATCTGTCTCACCTTTGGGGGTTCCTTGAAAGGTTCGCTATAGAGGCTGCGTATTCTTCTGCGCTCCATGATCTTATTGTCAGCTGCTGTTGGCTTATTGGCCTCCCCCTTGAACTGGGCGCTGTAGCTGGTCTCATGAGCCATCTTGTCATCTGGGGGCTTGTACTGAGGCTTGGCTTTTATTGGTTTCACAGGCTTGACGTCTGTCCATGCTCTGAATTCATTCCTGTTGGTCAAAGAAAACATAAGTGATAAAAAACATTGTATGCCTGGAAGCAGGGCTCCTGACTCGGGCTGCACACAGCAAGCTCTCAATTAGTGCTTGTGGCACTGAGCGTGGCTGGAGAGTTAATGCTATTCTTTGATCATGGCAAGTGACAGTTGTCTTTCTTGCCAAGTGGACCCAGGTTGTAGCAATAGCAATAGTGCTTTAGGGAAAGTGCTTGAGCTCCCTCCTAGTTCCACACTGCAGACAGGCAATTCAAATCTTCAGACCTCATTTCCCAGTCTCTGAAATGAGGCTGAAAACACCCAGCCCAGTCAGTCATTCAGTTCAACAGATATTGGATGCTGCTATGTGCAAATCTAGAGTTGTGAAATGAGACAATGTATTAGGCTTACTACCATCTCTAATGTAGCCTACCAATGAATGCCAAATTCCTTCCCCCTTTCTCACAATGAAGAACTTTTGTTCTATAGATTCCTTTTTAAATTTTTTCGTTTGGGGTGGTTTTTTGGTGCTAGAGATCGAACCCAGGCCCTTGTGCATGCAAGACAAGTACTTTACCAACTGAGCTACATTCCTAGTCCCCCTTTTTAAATTTTTTTAACAAAGGAGTGAACCCAGGGTCATTTAACCAACTGAACCACACCCCCAGCCCTATTTATTTTTTATTTTGAGACAGTGTCTCACTGAGTTGCTGAAGGCCTTGCTAAGTTGCTGAAGCTGACTTTGAATTTGCAGTCCTCCTGCCTCAACCTCCCAAGCCACTGGGAAGACCTGAGCTTTGGTAGGTAACTATGGCCGGTGCTCGACATTCCTGGGGACCAGCCCCAGGCCTGTGTGTAGAGCCACCGGGTTCCTAAGTCTAATCATGACAGCCAACTGAACCTGAAGAAGGTGGAGAGAGAGGAGGAGAGGTGAGGAAAGGACCAAAAGAAGCCCTGATGCCTGAGTAGGTGGGTGCTGTTGACAGAATCAGGAAGGTCTCAATTCCCATCCCATGCTCCTCCCATGTGCACCACTGTGCCTGGCTGTTCTGTAGAATCTTAAGGGTCCTCCCTTTAAACAGCAGTGCCAGAACTGAAACCACCGAAATCAACTTAGATGAAAATTTTGTGAAACGGCTCAGCGTTTATAAGTCTTAAAGAAGCCGCATGCACTGAACATCATGGCGTATCACAGCTAAGACTTGTGTCTGGATGTGAATCTAGGAGAGACTCCGTGTGCTCTGGTGTGAACCGCTGCCGGTTGGTCTGTCAGCCTGTCAGCTTTCCTGTTTACAGCAATCCCTCTCTGCCTTTCTGATCTGTCCTAGGGCTGGAGAAGAGATGGCCAACAGTGTTGAAAACAGGGCTGCCCCTGAAGGTGGACGAGGTCCTCCCTATAAGTGTGTGCCATTTACTGCAAAGCTCTGGGCCCTGAGGCCTTGATGGGGTCTGCTTCCTTTGGGGGCCATGAATAAGGAGTAGTTAGTGCGAGAATCTGCAGAGTTGGGTTCTTCCAAGGGCCCCTTCACCCTCACTGACTTCCTCCTCCAGGGCACAGAGAAAGGGGGCCACAGAAAGACTTTGGTCTGCAGGAGAGAACAGCCTCTCCAAGGCCTCTCCCACACTGAACATTGTTTTCTCATTTGTAAAATAAAAGAATTAGGCTAACCATGTCCCAGAATGTCCTTCTAACTCTAATGCTCTCAGCTATTAAAACCAATTTGGCAGCACTAAGCCTCTAGCTGGTGGCTTGACCTCCTGCTCTCTGGATATCTCTAGGACTGGCTCCTATGTGAAGAGAGGGGCCGCTACCTCTAAGTTTCCAGTGCAGCCTGGGCCACCACCTAGATGCCCAACCAATACCTCTGACTCAGTGTCCCTAAACCCCAACCGTCTGGTCTTCCTCGCTGACTTGTCTTCTTCAGGGTTCCCTCGCTGCTCATCTTCGCCCACTCATTCACAAAATATTTCCAGAGTGCTTGTGTTCTCCCTTTCTGGAGGTTGAGAGCTGTGGAGCCTAAACAGGCAAGAACAGTCCCTGGGCATCAGGTATGGGAGGCAGAGGGACTTGAGGTTGCTCCAGGGAAAGACCCTGAAAGCAATGAAGGAGGAGGGAGTGAGGAGCATGGAGCCTCACCCCAGCCTGGGAGTCAGGGGGAGCTGACTGGCAGGAGGTTGGCCAAAAGGTGGGTTCCAGACAGATCAAGCAGCATTTCCAGAGGCTCCTGAGTAGCACGGGAGCCTGTGGGCAGTGTGGGTGGCTGGGTTCCCATTTGGCATGGAAGAGCAAGGAGCCTAGTCACCATGGAGGGCCTGCTGGCCATGCTAAGGGGAGGGTCTGCCTTGTAACATGAAGTTGCCAATGAGTCCCAGCCAAGGGTGAATATGGCCAGATCCATTTTTGGAAGAGCACTTTGACAGTGGTGTGCGTGGTGGACTGTGGGAGAGAGTAGAGGTAGGACCCAGCAGGGGACTGGTGGAAGTCAGGAGGGATGTGTGGGCCTGAACCAGGAAGTGGCAGAGGGGACTGAGGAATTGAGTTGAGATGGCAACTGGGCATGAACCGTGGGAGGTGCGGGGCCTGGATGAATCTGGGGAGGTGCAAGGGCTTTGGCTTGGGGGTATGCCACTCACTGAGACGGGCAGCTGGGAGGAGCATGGGATGGGAATTGAGACCCTCCTGATTCTGTCAACAGCACCCACCTACTCAGGCATCAGGGCTTCTTTTGGTCCTTTCCTCACCTCTCCTCCTCTCTCTCCACCTCCTCAGGTTCAGTTGGCTGTCATGATTAGACTTAGGAACCCGGTGGCTCTACACACAGGCCTGGGACTGGCCCCCAGGAATACCGAGCACCAGCCATAGTTACCTACCAAAGCTCAGGTCTTCCCACCCTTTAGAGCTGAAGCCCTTTCCATTAGACAAGCCCCTAAGAGTTGGCACTGCCTGTGCCAAACCAGTCCCAACCTATTCTCAGTAGATGATGGCAGAAATCCAGATTCTATGCTTCTACCCCTACCTGCTTCCAGAACTAGGACTAAGATACATATGCACTGTCCCTCAGCAGTTTTCTGGGTCATCTCCCACTGGCCGGCCTCTGCAGCTCCATGCATCTCTGCAGTGGGTGAGCTGGCAAGTGTCTCACTTGTGAACATCATCCATGGGACGTGGACCCCACCCATGGAGGGGGTGGGGGAGGGGAGTAGTGACCCTGATCTTGAACAAATTTGGTACATCAGATGAGACCTTGTTAATGCATCCCATCATAGGTCCACTGTAATTATGACAGACTGTTAGGTTTAAGCCCAAACTCCATTTCCTAGAACTTTCTTCAAATTCTCCTTAAAACCTCCTCCAGCCACATGCAACAACTAATCATATGTCAAAAAAATAAAGTTAGGGGGATAGGGCTGTAGCTCAGTGGTAAAGCACTTGCCTAGCACGTGTGAGGTACTAGGTTCGATCCTCAGCACCACATAAAAATAAATAAAGGCATTGTGTCCATATACAACTAAAAAATAAATTAAAAAAATAAAATTAGGCTGGGCACAGTGGCGCACACCTGTAATCCCAGAACTCAGGAGGCTGGGGCAGGAGGATGGCAAGTTCAAAGCCAGTATCAGCAAAAGTGAGGCACTAAGCAACTCAGTGAGACCCTGTCTCTAAATAAAATACAAAATAGAGCTAGGGATGTGGCTCAACTGTAGAATTCAAGCCCTAGTATCTAAAGTAAACAATTAAATAAAGTTACTATTTCTTATTATCTTTTATAAACTGAAGGGTTTTGGTTTTGGTTTGGATATTCTTTGTAATTCTTACAATTTTGAAGAGGAACTAGTCTTAAACCCACTAATAAAAGAGATAAAACAAGTCTCAGAGAGGTTAAGTTGCTTGCATAAGGCCACACAGCTGGTAAATAGCAGAGCTGGATGTGAAGGCAGGTTAGTCAACTCTACAGCCCACACGCTCCCATTGCATGTTGGGAGTATGCTAGAACAACCGTGCTCACCTGTCTGCAGCAAAGGTGCTTGTTCAGTGCCTAGCCTGCTGTCCACATTGCTATGGAGGGTGGGATGACACAGGCTGGGCGAGGTGACTCCTGAGCTCCTCCAGCCCTGAGAGTCTTGACCAAGAACCATGTGGACCCCACTCACAGGTGAGTTATGCCTAGTGCCTCTTGCCAAGAGTTCCTGGTCCCTTGCACCACAGCCCCCTTTGCCCATATAACCACATTTATACCCCATCATTCATTTATTCATTCATCCATTCATTTGGCATTTGCCAAACACCAGTCATGGGCGTGGCACGTGTCCCGCAGGGATGAGTAAGCCGCGGTTGGTGTCTATCACTTAGTGAGTCAGGACCTGTCCATGTGTGATCCTAAAAAAGGCAGAAGGAAGCAAATGGAGCAGAGCTCAGAGGGAGAGTGGAAGAGGAATGCTTAATTCTGAAGGGCGACGAAGACCGGGGAGAAGAGCACTGAAGGCAAAGGTGAAGGGGTAGATGTGGGGGGTTCGCGCACCAGTCTGGGTCTGCATGGCAAGTTCAGAGAGCAAACAGATGAGGGGCTGCTCAGGATGTGGGGGGTAGGGGTCTTCCTCAAGGTGACCAGGCGAGGGCCTGGAATGCCTTATGTGGATGTAGGTGGAAGGCCCAGGGAGCCACTGAGGGTTTCTAGGCAAGGCAGCAGTGTTTCTCTAGGGATGGCGTCCTATTACCAGAAGCCCCAGTTGTAATGATTCTTTCAGGCCCAGCTCAGGGTTCTCCTCTTCCAGGAAGCCTTCCTGGGTTACTCAACACAAAGATTCCCACCCTCTTGGCTCCTGGTTCATCGACTCTACCAGCTAATTTTGTGGTTACTATGCAACTGCATGTCATTCTTTAATTCTTTCATGAGTTCATTTCATCTTTTTAAAGGATAAGATACTTAGCAGAAAATCCAGAACAGAATCCTACTTTGGGGTCCAACCTCCCTTGCATGGCTATGAAGAGAGGTCCTTCTGAATCAGACTGCAGAG